GATCAGATTGAGATGAAACTGAGCAGTTATGAGGAAATGCTGCAAAGTGTGAAAGAACAAATGGATCAGATCTCTGAAAGCAACCACCTAATTCATCTTAGTAACACTAATATTGTAAAACTCCTGTCCGAGATAGAGTTCCTTGTGGTAAGTGTGAATTACCAACAGCAACAACAAAAACTAATGACAATATATAAAACCCATTTGTAAACATTTCCTAATTTCCTTATGAGAGCAGGATTTAAAATAATTCCAAAGACCTAGTGATAGGATTGAGTAGCATCTTGTCTGTAAATTTCCCAGAATTACATGTGCAAATTGTATATTTGCATATATTCCAGAACCACATGGACTTAGCCAAAGGTCACATAAAGGCCCTTCAGGAAGGAGATCTTGCTTCTTCCAGAGGTATTGAGGCCTGCACCAATGCTGCTGATGCCCTTCTGCAGTGCATGAATGTAGCTCTTCGACCAGGTATGTTTGTTGGAAATGGTAACAATCTGAGCAAGAATTTGAAACTAATCCTGTAACTTGGTATAAAGATTTTGACAGGAAATACATGAGACAAGTGGTTTAGGTTACATTATTAGCTACTCAAACAAGTTTCACAGATGTCCCAGCTTATTTCTGTTGACACTGAGAACTTTTGCACTTCAGCTCCTTCTGATTGACCATCAGTGACTCCAGTTTAAACACCATGGTCTTTCTTTAGTACTGTCCATAGAACCTAGCACAAAGTAGATGCTTTGGTTAGACCAGAGAGCGTAAGGTTTTTCTAGGCCATGGTTTCAAAACTTGAGTGTGAGTCAGAATGACCTGGAGGGCTTGTTAAAACAGAGGTTGCCAGGCCCATCCTGAGATTCGGTAGGTCTGGGCTGAGGTCCTAGAATCCACATTTCTAACAGCTCACAAGTGATGCTGACGCAGGACCACACTTTGAGAACCACTGGGCTTTACCATTTTTTTCTTGCTTGCTTTTGATAAAGTAAGTGAATAAACCAGTAAAACTGAGTTCTTCAAAACTTTAGACATGCTTAATGTTTCATTAAACATCAAGGAAATCTCTGTACCCATTAAATCTGTCAAGAAACATCATTCTGTTTCAGGCCATGACATGCTTTTGGCGGTCAAACAGCAACAGCAGCGTTTCAGTGACTTGCGAGAGCATTTTGCCCGGAGACTGGCCAATCACCTCAACAATGTTTTTGTTCAGCAGGTAATTTTATTTTATTATTAAAACTGGCATGTTCCTGTAGTTTATTTACATATTACCTAAAACTTAAATTTCCACAGAAAAAATTAATGTGTTTAACTGAGGTTGCAATAAATTTCTTCACACATTTACTTGATTTTAAGATTTTCAAATGAGTGCTTATTCGCCTATGAATGTACTTTGGGCTTAGCTCCCTCCTTAGGTAGATAGTTCTAGTTCCTTTAGGCTGAAACTCTGATTCTAGAAATCAGATAAATAACTATGTATCAATTGCATATATCATTTAGACATTCTTATTTATAAAAGTAGGTCCAAACTTGTTATATACTTACTATTGGACCTGTTTTATTTTTCAGTATTCTGAGGTAAGAACCAGGCCTTGATTCAGTGTTTTAAATGTTTCATAAGCTCTATGTACTTATATACATAGTATACATATGAGAAAATGACTATAGCTCAACTGTAAATTTCAGTTGATTTAATCTTTATATAAATGCTTTGCCTACATTTTTATGTGGAAAGGGATGTTATAATTAAGGATGTGGTAGTAATTTTAACAATATTAAAAGCACCTTAGAGGGATTTGAATAGAAAGCATTTTAATATCTAGTATAATGAAATAGGTTTCTTATGTTTTTCATCTCTTTTATTCCTTTTATTGGGGTTATTGAGTGAAAAATATTGGGGGGAAGTCTTGTTCATCAAGAAATGCTATTTGAAAACATTGGATTCTTAGTTTTTACTTTGCAATATTCTAAAACAATTGTATTTACTGTATTTTATTTCCAATTAGTTTACTCAGGCCCTCCTTCAACTCTATAACAGGTCCTACTTTCTTTCGGTTCCTGTGAGTACATCAAATTTGGCTCAAGCTTCTCTAATTCCTTTTTTTATTTTCTATAAAGTTTGCTAAACTTAACAGCAGCAGAATCTTTATAGATTATAACATAACTTACTGATTTAAGCTACCCGTTAACCACGTTTGTAGCAGTTTTTTAATGGCCCATAGTAGATAGAGTTAATTTTGGTTAAAAAGGCATTTAATCTCATTCTGCTTGCCTTTCTTTCTGTGATTTTTTTCAGCCATTTATTCCTTCATTTATTTAGTAATCATTTATTTGCCAGGTGATTGAGGTACATACCAGACATTCACTTGGGTTAAATGAGAGGCTGATCTTGCTGGAGTAGCTCACAGTCTAGGGAAGGGAGACAGACAGATATATCAGGAAGGATAAATGTTGTGATCGTGGTACTGTGGGAACGTAAAGGAAGACTGCCTCACTAATGGGAGGGGGAGGTCAGGGAAGACTCCCGCAGCATTTCACTTGACCTGAAAAGTGTCAAGAAAAAAGTAAGCTTAGAAGTCACATAGGAAATACT